GTATATACTGTGGTTCTAGTCTTCTTGACGTCCGTTCAGCATGAGAGCTGGTCGCACGCACGCACACACACACACACACACACACACACACTCTCTCTCTCTCTCTCTCTCTCTCTGTGGTCGTCGCTTGAACGCTCCAATCAGGAGGTCGCTACGCGGAGCCAGAGGTATTGGCCAATGAAGCGGAGCCAGAGGTATTGGCCAATGAGGGAGTAGAAGGACTGCGCGCGCATCCAAAGCGCCAGTTGGAACTAAAAATGTCTAACTACATAGGCCGTTTCTTACACTATGGAGTATTCCAACTGTTTGAAATGAAGTAATTTTAAAGTCATTTATGATTGCTTGTTTGTAAATTAAAACAGAAACGTTTGAAGATAAAATATTGTATAATTGCATGTATGAATATTAATTGCTGTATGAATATTATGTCCTATGCAATTCTGATAGCTTCCTGATGCAAAAAAGCGTAATGCTGCTAAAACCTAGAAAAAAATCTTAATAATTTATATTCTGTATGTGTTGTCTATACTTACTTTAATTTATATCCTGTATGTATTGTCTATACTTACTTGTAAAGTTGCGTCCAAAGCAGTAGGTCGTAATGGTTCTATATAATTTTCTACAATATCAATAAACCTGATTGTTGTTTCTTTTTTCAATCGAAAAATATTTATAAATTGCCTTTCAGATAATTGAAATGGATCATCCCTTATGTGAAAACGTGGTCTATCATTATAATGATAAACATTTTCTAATTGTTCATTGATATGTAAAAAAACAGCATTTCGATATGCCATATCCATTGCTAAATTAAAACTTCACATTAACCCCAATTTGTCAAGAGAGTCGCACTTATTACTATATTTGTCGTATGCGACTTGCATATCGCATGGGCTATACCCACTCGATATCAGTCATTCGATATTTTCTCGCATACGATACATGTCACCCATTCAAGAATACTATTTTTGTTAACGCATGCGATATCGTATGCGATATCTAGGGTCCTCATTTCAAGAATAGCGTCCCTGGTTCTAGTCTTCTTGGTATGATAAAAGCCGAGGAATTCCGAATTTTTCGGAGTGGGACAGTGGAACTGTGGGACAATTTGAAGTTCTAGCGAGTTTCAATGACAGCGTCGTAGTGTGCACTGAAATTTTAGGTTATGTTTGTACCTGACACGGAACTTATACTATATTATGTTATTATGTTGAAATCAAGGTGAGTGATCGAGCAATAATTGTCGATGATCCTTTTAATTCTTCAATTTGTATTTTTTTTTTTTTAGAAAAGCGAAAATGATGTGATAATGATGTCATAGGTGAGACATATGGATGCTTTATGTGTCTGGATGATTGACATATTATGTGGTAATCCTCGATATGTGATGATTCGCTAACAATTTCTCTCTGTTCGAGGCTTTATAATAAGGCGGTATGTCTTGCAAATTCTTCTTTCAAATTTTTTTTTCCATTTCATGTATCAGATAGTGATAATGAAATAAACTTTTTTCTAATAATGATAACAAAGGGTATACATTACATGCTGGATTTTTGTATCAAAAAGTATATATTTAAAATCTTCAGTCAATGATATAAAATTCTATATAAACATACTTTTCCTTTGGTAACTTTTTTGACGGATATTATTGAAAAAAGTATGAAGAAAGACTTTAAATTTATAAAAAGACAGTTTTGACTTAGTCAAGGAACTGAATGAAAAGCCATTGTATTCAAACTATAAATTTGTATCTTTTAACTACCTATGACACAAATATTTTTACTGAATTGACTATTAGAAATATCGAAAAAAGATGGGATTCTGCCTCTAAAAATACAACTGTTTCCAATTATAGAATTTCTAACAATTTCATTAATATTAAATTCCACTTTTTTAAAATTTGACCACCAATACTATAAACAAATTTTCGACATGCCCATGGGATCTCCTCTGTCCCTAATCTTAGCAAATCTTGTACTGTAGCATCTCAAGAGTGATTTTTTTAATGCCATCAACATTGATATTCCTATTTATTACTGTTATGTGGACGATATCCTACTAGTAGTTCCACAAGACCAAATAAATGTGATTTGAATAGATTTAATATTCTTATTATAACAATAAAATTTACTATTGAAGAAAATGAAGATGGTATTATGAATTTTCTAGATGTAAAATTGATGATAAAGGATGGAAAAATTATTTTTTACGTAAAATTATTTTGATAAAAAACCAACCAACTCTGGTAGATATCTCAATGAGGATATTTATACTGAGACTTATTGAGATATTCGAGCAATGACATGTACAGATTGCTGACATCATTTTTGAATTCAAAGTATTTCCCTGGGAGTTTACTGACTTTTAACATCATATTTAAATCAACACCTGATTCAACACTATAAAAATACCCTCAAAACTATAAAAATACAATTCAAATTCAAGATTTATTTCGATCGGCAAAATCGACTTTTTTCGACACAAAAGAAAAGGTTTCATTCTTTAAAATAAATATTTTTTGCAATAAAATTATTTATAGATTTTAATATTATTTGACATTAAGATTTTTCTAAAACACCTATAAGCATCAAATTACTAAATTGTTAATCAATTTAATTTGTGATATTACTACTGTAGTTCAATCAGGTTTGCGTTTCAAGACTGAAAAATCAATTCGGGGCGCAATTTAAATGACTGTATATGTAGTATAAATTCACATCGAATTAATCAAGTACTTAAGATCTAGTTTGTTCGTTTAAGCATTTGTTCCCTACTAGTTGTGTATTCACATTTACTTTTCTTAAGAAATTCTTTGTTTAATAAATTTTGTATTATTAATCATATATTGTAATTGTTTCAGAATCTTTTTTACTTCGGGAATATGACACGCTCACATGTTAAATACCAAATTGCTAGAGATAATGTCGATACATCCGAGTACTTACCACAAAATATTCCAGATTTCCAAAACGTGACGAAGACAGAGCTCACATTTTGGAGGAAAGCGTTCCATGTATTTTTATTGATATCTGCTTACTTTATTTTATCAATAGGCCTTACATTTTATAATCCATGGCTTTATAATGCATATGTGAGTAATTGATAACTAGAAATTTTTTTTTATAACTTTTTCATCTGTCTGGTTCTATTACAAAGAAAAAGTAATAAATAAAATCTCAAAAGGCACATACGTGCGCGTTCGCGATTATACGCATTCACAGTAGGGAAAAAGGCACTCTTTTTGGACAAAAATTTTATTAGCTTAATCGATTTTGGTGACTTTTAAAAATTTCTCGTTATAAAATTTCCTACATCATAGAGTTGTTAAGTTTTTGATATAAAACTATGATTCGAAATGACAATTTTCCAAGATGGCTCAAATGGCGGCATTCTATATTGGAAAATTTGGAGTTTCCATTAGGACACTGAACTTTAAAACATTTAAAAATCATTATTACCGGAACTTTTGCAAGCAAAAAGTATATTTTGACTATTTGTCTTGTGCTTGTCTCAGTATTGTCTTTTTTTTACCCCAACAGCTGAGCAAGTCTTTGATATTCGTGTATGTTCTCTCGCGGATTCTCAGAACGCGATATTCTTATGCCGATTAATTGTTTAAATAAATTTGCAGTAAAAATAATGGCGATATAATTGCCACAAGGTCTCAATTGATGCAGAAAAGCAAGACATATATATATATTAAAAAAAAAAAAATAAAAGTCTTCTAAGCCGAGTTTTGTGGAAACACTTTAAAAATCAATGCTGATAGTGTAGAAAGTTTAATACGAGAAAACGCAAATGTTTAACTAATCATGGGGCGCGGGTATCCGTCCGATCAAGTTAAAATTTGGCAGGGATTATTTTTTTGTGAATTGGAACCACTCTAGAGGGTCCTGTGGAAAGAATTCAAAAAACAATTTTAACCAAGAATAAATAAGGACTACCTTAATATATGTATATATACATTATTTATGTATTAACACAATTTGTATAATGTTTTTAGGGTTTTAATTTTCCACTTGGTGTAGTCGTTTGTCATTTGATTATAAAGTTTGCACTATCCGCATTAATAAGAGCCATTAGAAGATGTTACAATAGTAAACGAATAAATCTTCCATGGCAGAATATAATTTACTCAATAATGGTACCTGGCATAGCTAGTGGTGTTGATATTGGTTTATCAAATTGGGCACTTTCATTGATATCGATATCTTTGTAAGTATAATCGTATAGTAATAATTAAGATGGAATTTATTACAAAGTACATGATATTTCTTCCTAGAGTCACAATGACTAAGTCAACTACTATTATATTTATTCTTGGGTTTTCTCTTATGTTCAAATTAGAGAAAAAGGTAAGGCTTTTCAATAAAGATCTGTGATATTTCTTAAATGTATATAAAACATATATATTTTTATATAACATTTTTATATAACATATAAATAATAATTATTGTTCATTGTAGTCATGGTCTTTAGTAGGGATAGTGGCGATGATAGCAGGAGGATTAGCGATGTTCACTTATAAATCTACTCAATTTGGCATTCTTGGATTTATATTGTGTCTCTTAGCATCATTTGCGAGTGGTATTCGATGGACTATGACACAACTCATTATGCAAAGATCGAAACTCGGCCTCCATGATCCGATAGACATGATGTATTACATGCAGCCTTGGATGCTATTACCAGCAATATCAGTGACTTTATGGTTTGAAGGTAATTGTGCATTTCGTAACAGAATTTTATAATTAATTATAGAATTAATCTTAATTAATTATAAAAATTTTTGGTAAATATTCACTTAAGGGGAGGCTAATTACGATGACCTTGACTTTGACATATGTTGTCAAGGTCATGTCCCTGAGTGACCTCTAACAGGTTTTAGCCATTTCTTGTTATTCATTAAAAAATTCTTAACAATCAAAGTTCGTAATTATTTCTCCATTTTGCATGGAAAATCAGATGACTCGTTTCGTTGTTTCTTTTTCTATTGAGACGCACTCAAATTTTAAGCTTTAAATTAAAGCTCATTGTAGTCACTGCTTTAAGGAAACTTCTACGTAAGATATCGGTCATGTAATTGTTTTTCTAGAGCAAAAATGTGAAAAGTGAAAATTTTTATGTATATATGTACAAAAAAATGTAAGTAAAAGTGAAACGTGAAAATTTTTTTCATTTTTAGAATAAAGTTGTCCGCGTCTTTATTTTGTATCTGTTTCTATTCAAAAGATTTTCAATTCAAAGGATCGAGTGTGTACTTGAAACAAGATGAAAATTATAAAAGTGAACAAATTCACTAGATGTTAATCAATGAAATTAACAAAAATAAAACAAAAATAAAATTTTAATCTGTTCACTTTTGTAATTTTCTCGTTTTAAAATATTTAGAATTGATCTCCTGTTTATAGGATTACATATTTTTGAAAGGAGATGAAAATTACACTAATGAGCAAATTCAATACGGTTGAATAGGATGATGAAATTATAAATATTCTAGTAACATTTTGTTAGTAAATTATTTTGTAATTTTTAGCTTATTTCAAGTTTTAAAATACATAATCGACTCCTAATAAGTTCAGAGAAAATTCTTTACCTGTAATGTCATTAATTCCTGTCACTCCAGCATCACCTTAAAGGCATGCTCAATTTTAGGTGGCAAAATATACGATAGTATTAGAATCACCGATTGGGGCAATATCAGTAATATTTTATTAACTACAGCTGCTGTAGTAACAGGTGCCATTTTAGCATTTAGTATGGAAGTGATGGAATTCTTAGTTGTTACTTACACCTCTAGTCTGACATTGTCGATCTCGGGAATATGTAAGGTAAAATTATTAGTCAATTCATTATTGTATTCTATATTGTAATAAATATTACGTTTATGTTTTGTATTCCAATAATCAAGAATGGATTGAAATTTTTATGCGTATATTTTAAGTCCAGTGAATCCAATAAAAAAACTGTTTTTAATTAATTGGATTCAATTGGATTCAACTGGATTCGATTGGATTAAAAAACTGTATTTCCTATTCAGAATTGTGAATTGAACCGTATTTACGATGCACAGAAAAAGCTGATAATATTTTTAGATTGAAAGGAACAGAAAAGTGATTTTATATACATAATATACGTGCTTTTATATATACATACATGTATATATATACATAATTATGCAATTTCTATAAATGAATAGAAATGCATTCGGATTGAAAAGGATTTATTTTAACGTTCGTGAATGTGTATTTCTGAAAATCTGAATATTTCAATCCATTCTCATTTACTTGAGATTTCTATTAAAAACAATTATAATAAAATCAGAGAATGGAAAGTTATTTTTCAAAAGTACCCAGTAAACGAGAATGAATTAAAAATGAAATTTTTTTCTATCCGATGCGTATTTTAAATAGCGAATACTTTTTTTTGGATTTAATTGGATTCAATTGGATTCAATTAGATGCAATTGGATTGAAAAACTGCATTTCCTATTCAAAATCTTGAATTGAACAGTATTCATAATGCTCAGAAAAAGCTGATATTATTTTTAGATTGAAAGGCATAAAGATATGCTCCATGCAATTTCTATAAATGAATAAAGATGCATTCAGGATTGAAAAGCATTCATTTTAATATTCGTGAATCCATATTTCTGAAAATCTGAATCCATTTCAATCCATTTCAATCCATTCTCGTTTACTGGGTATACTCATCCGCAAAAAAACAGTCCACTAAATTTTAGCACAAATTTTTAATATTTTTCAATAGTGGTAACTCTTAGCGAAAATCATATATTTATTGAAATAAATCAAAGTTCAAATTAAATCTTAAACATAAACATTCCTCTTGAAATCTATGAAAATCAAGTTTGAGTGGTTTGAGTTACATAAAATATGTTACAAAATGGCTGCCAGTTTTTAACTTTCACTTTCTCTCTTTAAAGATGAGAGAAAGGGAGAGATAGTGAGAAATATTTTAAGCTTCGCTTACAGTCAAAGTATAGGGCTGCGCACAATCAAAGGAATAGGGAACAGAGTGAGAATTTTAACCTGTCAGAAACTATTATTCCATAGTACATGATTTCTGATAGGTTGAAATTCTCATTCTCTGTTCCCTATTTATTTGATTGTGCGTAGCTCCTAATGTTAGTGTAACCGGACCTTAGATCATAAGACATTGGGCGAGTTCAAGACGGCAAAGCGGCTAGGCGTGCTTACCGAGCGATTGAATATGATTGGTTGGATCTATAAGTAACAACCAATTATGTTCATTTGCTTGGCGAGCAGGTTAGCCGCTTTGTCAACTTGAACGCGCCCATTGTCTCAAGATTATAGTCAGCTGAGGTCTTTAAAATCGTCTTGAAGTAAAAACGAATTATGAATATTAGCTAAAGATTAAAGATTGAATATATAAAAAATTATGTTATAGGTTCAAAATATAAAAAATAACAATAAAAGTAATTGTAAAATTAGTTACCATTATAAAAAAAGTGTAATTATCGTTACAATTATAAAAGAAAGTTATCAGTCCCTTACAAAAAAAGTAACTTGTAAGGGTAACAGCGTTACAAGTAACAACGTTACTTTCATTCCTTGAAAAAAATACAAGATTAGGTATCAAGTTTTATTAATACACGTTACAAGAAAGTTTCATAGATAATACTAATATACATTCTATTTAGCCAATTTTCAATTTCCCTGTGTATGTTTTTCATTTTGTAATGATTTTTTATAGGAAATATGTACATTGGCACTGGCCTTTGTGTTGAAAGGTGACCAACTGACTGGCCTTAACTTTGTAGGATTGTTAATGTGCCTTGGTGGTATAATACTTCATGTTGTTCAGAAAGTATTACTTAACAGAAAGAAAACAGTTGATAATATGGAATTGCAATCGAAAGTGGCAAGCAACAATGCTAAACGCGAAGAGGAAACTGATTCGAACGTGCCATTATTGACGGAAAAATCGACTTCTTTAATGAATCTTCTCAATGCTGAATTCAGTTCGGATGAAGATGGTGATGTGAGAGAAAGTGATAACTCGACTCAAATACTGTCAGATATTTTGCAACGCAGAGAACAGTGATATATCATAAATTTTTAAATCTGATAAGGAATTATTCTTTATTAAAAAGTCGATTGTATATTTATGACTTACAGCATTTCAGATTTTTCCAGTGTAAATTTTACAGTCAGTAATGAAGTTATCGATATCATAAAGAATGATCCCAAAAAACATCTATTTTTAGCCTATGTATTTTGTGGCCCTTAAATTTCGAATCGAACAGTATGCCAAATGATACTATATGAAAGGACATCATCTAAAAAAAAATTAGAAAATTTGTATGTATGTCTGCTTGCATGCGATACTGATGTAGTGTGTATGATATATACCAATAATATGTAAATCGTATGTGTAAATCTTGTTGAGTCGATAAAACAAGCAACTTTAAGATCCCCTTAAAAATTTAAACAGGGCTGGGAGAAGTAAGAAAACCATTCTAATTCTGATCAAAATTCTACTGTTACCAGGGAAGTATTAATTATCTTTTTGTGTTTTAGTCTATATTGCTTGAACAATATTGAAAATATTAGAAATTTGACTATTTTGACTTCTCGTATCTTCAAAAGTACTTTTATGCTCAACTTAAATTTTTTCTAAGATTAATGTCCCGTCATATAGCATCATATAGCATACAGTCCGATTCGAAATTCGAGGGCTATAAAATGGGCTAGATTTGGAGTCATTCTTTTACATTACATGTTAATTAAATTTGATACACCAGAAATGTTTTGAAATAAGTAGCGTTAAAAGTAAACACATTTCAGGATTTAATTAAAAATATAATATATATTTGCTGTGAAACGATAAATGCAAGATTTCCCGATATACTTCTATATACTATCATGTAAGAAGATACAAATATCTAAAAAAATTGCGAAGTACAAAAATGAAAACGTGAAATGTGTTTCGTGTGTTAATATTGATAAAAAAACGTCACTACATATAAAGATTTATTATTATTGTCTTGAACATTATGGCCCGTATTCAGAACGCGCTTTTATCGATAATAGCGCGTTTTTATCTATGAAATTCTATAATATGTGTAAAGTATATTATGTTAGCGCGTTAACATCGTTGTAAGCGCGTTCTGAAGCGTTACGAGCCTATGAGTAAGAGCTTTACTATGCAATACATTAAATTTGTTTAAATTTTATACATGCATGCGTGCATGTGTGAGGGTTGACAAAAGATGTTTTTTTTAAAAATGATTTAAATAGTATTATAAAAAAAACATGTTTAAAACATGATTTTTATCAATCCTGACTATGTATGCATGCGCATGCGCGCATTATTTTAGAATACACTTCCAGAATAATATAATGATAATTTAATATTTATCTTTTAATAATAAACGCACAATAATTAACAAATTTAAACACATTAAGTGTCAAATATGATCAGTTATTTAAATAAATACGTTTTTAAAATTCTTATGTATGTACGTACATACATTTATAAATTATCATGAACTGATAACAGTTCGACAAAAGAAAACGCTAGTTATGAGACTACTTATAGTCATTTCCTATAGTTTTTTGTAGGCTGATTTTATACGTTAAAAGTACTCTATCATCGTTTGATGTGAATTTTAGCATTATCAATGAGACTCGGTTATTGGATGTATTGTAAGTAATACATATTAATTTTTAATAAACGTATAATAATCGAAAGAGAACCATCGAGATCATGTGTTAGTCATTTAGGCGAGTGGAATTTTGCGTTAGCTAATAGCAAATTCGATTGGACGCACTGATGCATGGGCATTTTTTCGTTATCCAACCAGAAGCGATCACGGCTAAGGCTATCTTCATCTTCAGGGATCAAAAGACAAAGATAGCCTTAACCGCGGTTGCTTCTGGTTGCACAACGAAAAAACGCCCCATATCAAAACCACCGTGCACAAGTTGACGTAAAAGTCTGTGTTTAATATAAATATAAAAATAGGTTAAACCATGAAATCCTCGATACATTTTATTGTACTGTTAAGTAAAATATGTATTTTATAATTCGAAATATTTGCATTTCATTTTTGCACTTAAATTAATCAGTGTACAACGGCTTTAATATGCACCAGTGCGAACTACCGGAACTCACTTCAAGCGGGCAGCCATTATTGCCACTTTCTGTTCCATGTTAAGTACGGTATGTTTATTTTTCGTATTTCGATAATTTTAAATTGTTCAAGTAATCAAACAATAAATAAATTTCCTAATCGATAAATCTTATTTAAAAAAATAAATGTGTTTTCTGTTTCCTTTTGTTGATAAATAATAAAATAAAAACAAAAAATTAATCAATCTTCAGGGATTGATTTTATTCTTTTGGATTTGTGCAGCAAAAAAAATTGCTTGTTACATGTCAGGGTATCCTTTATGTATTGCCAGAGTTTCATAATTTTTAAATTTTTCTGCATTGAGGACCTTTCCCTGTAAATACGTTTAAAGAAGATTTAAGGGGTATTTCCTCATACCTACAAAATTCAAGATAAAATCTTTATATGATCATATATCTGAAACAGCTTAGTTTCATAAAGATACAAGGTGCCAAAGTTGAAAGAAAAATTTTGTTTTTTTTTTCTAAAAAGTTCGAAAACCACTCGAATTATTTTGATGAAACTTTGTATATGCTTAAAGTTTCTATTAAAATAATAAATGATTTTTGAAATTTTTTGACACCTTGTATCTTTGAAGATGAGCTGTTTCGTACATATGGTCATATGAAGTTTTCGCCTTGAATTTGTGAAAAATCACTCCTTAAAATCTTTCAGCGTACTTATATTACTAGTATACACTTTATATAATATAGAATGCATACAACACACAAATATTTTCTATTAGCGAATTCGATTGGACACACTAGACATGTTAAAGCCGTTGTACACTGATTTTTAATCTGTGTAACAGTAAAATGCAAATATTTCGAATTACAAAATACAGATATTACTTATATTAACAACATAATAAAATATATTCAGAATTTAATCCATTTTATATTTATATCAAATACTACATATTTTTACGTCAATTTGTGTACGATGGCTTTAATGTGCATCAATGCACACTGAGTACATCCAATCGAATTAGCTATAAGTCAACATAATCAAATTACATTATATCAGTTAATAAACAAATCGGACATAGGTTTGTTAATAAATAATTTATTTTGTATTTCGGAATATATCCTAATTTTTCTATTATCAAAGTTTTATTTCAAATATATATCTCTTTAATAAATATAATACATAATAATAAAAGAATCATATGTTATTCAAACAGTCAATTATTCTGCAATTCTAATTTAGCCGTAGATAAGAGAAGTAGATAAGAACACTTTATGATAAATTTAAAGAATTATAAGTTTGTAATTGTCAATTTTTCTTACAAGTAAATTACAACAAATATAATTTAGATATAATTTCCACTAACATTAAATATGAATATATTTATTGTTCAATTCTTTAAAGACAAATATCGCGACATCTCTTAATTTGACATATTCCATACATGACAACTGTCTCGAAAGAGTTGAACCAAATCATAATTTGAAATTTTTATTTATATATGTCATTTTTATCTATTATGCAATAAATAAAAAAATTTTATTAAACCAGTTTCTATTATAACAAGTAAGACACAATGCGATCATATTTGCTAGTTATGCAATGTTTATACTAATATTGGTTAATAAATAACGATCACTTTTATCTTTTATAAATAAAATAACAGATTTATTTTTCTTGCTTACTTTGTTTTATTTGATTAATTTTTTTAGATTTGGTTTCAATTCTGTTTTCCAGTTTGTGAACCAACTCGTCTAATTCGTCCTAATAAACATAAATTAAGATATAATTACTCTTAGATAGTTTGGTTATATTTTGTAAAGTGTATATAGTGTATATATGATGTACTAATTGGTTATAACAAGTTGTACTTACTTCAGCATACGTGTACATGAGAGTACAATGTTTCAAAACCTGCTTCTTACAACTAATTAAGTGCAAGGCATGCGGCAAACAATAAACGCTGTCATCTTGCGAATTATTTACCAAAGAGACAAACAAATTAGCTCTACATGTCTCACATTCAAAGTCGCCATCATCATCTTTCACCTTTTTCCCTTTCTTTCCTTTTCCACTAACTGGTAAAGGCAATCTTTCTCTATTGATAAGACCTACACTTTCCAGCTGTTTACGATAATCTAATTCTTTTTCACAAATCTTCATTACATTCGGCAATATCTAAAAATATAATATTATAAGGTAGTGCTAACAAAAAGTTTATGTGACAATATATGACTATCTACATTTTAATCTTTAATAATTACAATTTTTATTAATCTTCTAACAATTACAGCATAAATTTATTCCTACCTGTTTCAATATATCTATGTGCGATCTCGTATCATTAATAATATTAAATAACAATCTCTCAAATGAAAAGATAGAAGGTTCGCAACTATCTTGTATATCCTGAAAAAAAAATATATATATACACGAACAATACATATTTATATACAAATAATAATAAAATCGTAATTAAAATTAAATGGCTAAAAATCTCATACGAAAGATTTTATATGTTACATATACCTTAAATACTTGTTCTGCAGTTTCTAACCAGGATGGTTGTGCGAAATATACGCTTTCAGATACAACGTAACCAGTACATATGCTTGATGTGAACGCTTTTGGAAATACTATTATAAATTGTCCCGGCTCTTGCACAGTCTGACATAATGGTACATCGTTGTTTACTAATAATTCCGGCGGAACCATAGCAGTATCAGAAGGTAACCATATAGTCTTATTTTTGCAATATTGTGGTACCATTTTCGAGAGCGCTTGTCGGAAATTATTATTATGCTCGTCAGGTATTCCATACCAAATTTTTTTGGCACCTGTATGTAGATACTCTATCCATGGTAGACCATGCGGATCACGATACCAACAACAAGCGCTAAATAACATACCCACATGCAATGTTGGTACGGTCACACCTAGAAATACCAATATTGTTTGTATAAAAATGTTATATACACCTTTATTGAAAAAAGCATAAAATGAGGATTCAAAAATGAGGGCCTTTGAACTGTCGTTTATTATTTATTTCCTCTATCCATATACAAATAATTGTAATAATTTGAAAATCATGCGTTTCGCGAGTTTTCTCCGTGTTCAGATCCATTCATGGAATGCCAACGTTTCGTGAAGTAGAGAGTAAGAAGTAGAAAGTAAGAAAGTAATAAGCAGCGTAATATAAAGGGAACGGCTCGGAGGAACTGCTCAGTATCAGGCTGCTCCTCGCCCTGATGAAGTGGACTGCAAGGTTCATGAAACGTTGGCATTCCAAGAATGGATCTGGACATGGAGAAAACTCGCGAAACGCATGATTTTCATATAGGAAGCACCCGTGGAAGCCTCAAGAATATTATTGTAATAATTGTTAATATCTTGATTATGAGATATATATATATATATATATTGCATACCCATTAGTGGACCTAAAGCTCTTAATACTGATCCAGGATTGTTAGTGAGAACTTTAAGATTCCAAGGATGTCTAGCAAACGGACTGTTTTTTGCAACAGAAAATCCAAATCCACGACCGCTCGAATCAATGCTTGCTGCATGTACGCAGACATGACGTTTTCTCTCGGCAACATGTTTCCAAAATGCACTCTCTACCTCGTTGGCGGAAGCACCCTCGGTTTCATTTCCTCGTTGATTTTCACCAAACCACATACGTTGAGTATTACGAGCAATTCGGTAAAAAGCGTTCAATGGCATATTTCTTCCCTTTGATATAACAAATGTAGATGTATTTATACATAAAAAAATATATATGTATACAGAGTGATTCATTTTAATCTTAACAGGCAAATATCTCGAAAAATA